TGGTTATCCATTCCTCAGTTGTTGGACATCTAGGTTGTTTCCAAGTTTTGGCTATTGTAAATAGTGCTGCGATGAACATCGGCGTGCATATATCTATTCTTTTTATGGCTCTCACTTCTTTAGCGTATATACCTAGTAATGGGATGGCTGGGTCAAATGGTATTTGTATTTCCAACTTTTTAAGGAATCGCCATAGAGAATATTTATTTTTTACTTATACAATGCTATTCGTGTAATTTTGTTTCCCAATTTTAATGGTGTTTTACTTCCAAGGGTAGTTTTTCACATCCTTTTGACAATTTTCTATTCATCACCATCCTGCCAAACACTGAAATAACAGCTATCATTTACTGAATGTTTACTCTGTGCCAGACACTGTGCCAGATGCTTTAAATCATCTCCTTAAAGCACAGCAGGAAAGAGCACAGCTTTAGAGTCAGATCTGGGTTCAAATCCCAGTTGTCCTTTTACCAAATGTGTGACTTTGGGCAAATGACTTAACCTTACTGGGACATAATCTTCCTCATCAATAAATTGGGTATTTGTAAAATTTAAGTAATATATGCAGAGCATTTAAACAGAGCTTGACACACAGTAGGCACTCAATGAAAAGTAATTAGAATTGCTATTACTGTAGTTGTGTGTCACTTATGCAAATAATACAACCAGTGATTGGCTCCACTGAAGTCAAAGTGGAGAGCTCATAGTATTGGTGTCTATATAGGAAGCCAGCAGAGGGAGCCTCCAATCCATTTCTGGATCTGGGGACAAGATAAGCATAAAAAACCAAACCAAACTCACTGCCCTAAAGTCGATTCAATCCCTCCTTGGGTTTCAAAGGCAGTATCTCTACAGAAGTAGATTGCCACATGTTCCTTCCGAGGAGTGGCTGGTGGGTTTGAACCACCAGCTTTCTGGTTAGCAGTCAGGTGCTTTAGGCACTACACCACCAGAGCTCCCAAGATAAGCATACCTATCCATTAATACAACCATCTCAGAAATAAGAGTACCAGACAGGTTAAAAAGTGATCTGATAGTGGTTATCTCCAGATGGGAGACAGGGAGATGGGCTGGGGGAAAGCACATAGATAGCCTCACTGGTATTGGCAATGTTATAGTTCTTAAATTAAGTCTGGATTCATTAGTGTTTCTTCCATTCTATGCTTTAAAACTTACATATGCGTTACATATACTCTTACATATAAAAAACAAACCAAACCAACAAACCAAATTCACTGCCATCGAGTTGCAACCCCTCCTTGGGTTTCCAAGGCAGCATCTCTATGGAAGTAGACTGCCCAATCTTCCTTTCAAGGAGTGGTTGGTGGGTTTGAGCCCCCAGCCTTCTGGTTATTAATCAAATGGCTTAGGCACTACATCACCAGAGCTCCCCTTTATATATATATATATATACTTGGAAGGAAGGTTGGGCAATCTACTTCTGTAGTGATACTGCCTCGGAAACCCAAGGAGGGGTCGCTGTGAGTCAGATCCGACTCCACGGCAGTGAGTTTTAGCCTCTCATAGGAAAGCAACAGCTCCTTCTATTATAGCCACTTCTTGTACTAGACTCTGAGCTTCCTAAAGACAGAGACTGGTTCTTATACATCTGTATAGCTCCAACAGCAGCCAGCACAGTGCCTTAGGCAAAACAAGTGCTCAAATGTTTTCTGAATTACATTCCTATATTTTGAATAGATGTGCATTTAATCAAACATAAACTGATTTTTGGTAAGTTTGAACAGCTCATAATCAAATTCTATTAAATTACATTCTTCCTTTACTTAGATACAGTGTGTTGGGGTAGGGGATTATACATCAAGTCACACCATCTTTTATTTTCTAAGAATTGAAAAACAAATAGTTCAACCATATTTTGAAACGTTCTTATTCATTTAATAATATTTATTATTTGTCTATTACATGTAATATATTCCTCAAAAATGTTAACTCATTAAGGGGACTGGCAAAATAAATTATGGTGTATTTAGTAGTTTAAAAGAATGAATGAGATTCATGTTATCATGCAATCATTTTCAAGTCATACTTGTAAGTCAAAGGATAAGATGGGGAATGATGTATTTCATATATGTGCTTGTCTATGAACAGAATATTTCTGGAAGGTTACATAACAAACTGGTAACTGCGATTGCTTCAGCAAATGGCTATCTGGCATACAGGGGTAAAATATTTTTCACTACATAACTTTAGGAAAAAAAGCAAAACTCACTGCTGTCGAGTCGGATCCAACTCACAGCAACCCCTCCTTGGATTTCGGAGATAGTATCACTATGGAAATAGATTGCCCAATCTTCCTTTCGAGGAGTGGCTGGTGGGTTGAACTGCCAGCTTTCTGCTTAGCAGTCAAATGCCTTAGGCACTCCACAACCAGAGCTCCTTTGGTACTATATAATATTTTTCAGTGGGCATGGATTATTTTTCAACTGAAAAAACAGCTTATAATTTACACCTTCAATAAGAAAAAGGTTCAAAACATCAAATTGGATAAGATCGAAGAACAGTGCAAAAAAAGAAATGTCATGAGATCATATGTAGTTAATTACCATATAAACAGCAATTGCTTTTAGCGTAAAGGAAGAACTCACTGTGGAGAGATGTGACCAAAACTCAGTGCCGTCAGAGACAATTTCATAGTGTAAGAGGGACTTGACCTAGATCTTGAAGAATGAGATTTGGATATGCTGAGAGAAGGGCAGGGGGGAATTACAGGGGAAGGAAATGTAATAGGCAAAGGGCTCTGAAGCTGAAGCAAAGCTGTGAAGTGGGCCTAAGAGGCACAAGACCTGAGTTCTAGTCTTTCTTTGATCCTAAAAACTGGATGCTTCTAAGCAGGTCACTCTTACCTTCTGTGCATCCATTGCTGGATTCTTAGAACAAAAGGTAACAGATGACCCCTTGGGTCCCTTAGACCTCTATAATAAAAGGACTACCTCCATAACTACAGTTGGGAAGGAAGATTAGGGCTATATTTGGGGGCTCCCAAAATTTACTGGTTTGATCAGAGGAAGCTAGTGAAAGTTTTGAAAAAATGAGTATGTTTTAGGAAGATTGAGTTAATATGTGAAACCACACAGTAAACACCATGTAAATTTTGTCTGTTATTATTAGTAGTCTGGCATCTTTTACAGAGTAGACTAGAGAAGAAAGAATAAACTAACTGGGAGATTACAAAAAGCCAGGTAACCAAAAGATTGGTTTCTCACATGGGTGAGAATTTGAAAGCAGTAGTGAGTGAAATAGTGTCTTGGATTTGCATAATTCTCTAGACATTCCTCACGCTAATAAATCTGCTCCAAATTCTTGTTTCCTATCATTTTCCAAGGTCCTATTGATTAGTATTTAGTGACAAGGCACATTTGGAGCCTGAAAAGTAATTCTGCTCAGTCATATTCTCAGGTGTTGTGTTTATTTTATAGCCTGATTCTTTCTAGCCTTGACCTTTCCAGGCAGCCAGTGCATATTTACACATACTTTTATTTAAATAACTTTCTTAAAAATTATACAAGTACTATGTCTCCATAATGGCAAAATTAGAAAACATAGAAAAACACAGATTTAAAAAAGTAACTTACCCAAACGGAAACTTACAGAAAGGTAGATACAACAGAAGAGTCCATTTAAATACAGGGCTTGTTACAGAGAAAGCACTTCATATGGAACAGAACCCAACTAAGTGCCTCTGGTAGCAGAGTGGCTAAGGCACTTGACTGCTAACCAGAAGGCTGGCAGTTCAAACCCACCAGCCACTCCTCGGAAGGAAGGTTGGGCATTCCTACTTCCATAGTGATACTGCCTCGGAAACCCAAGGAGGGGTCGCTATGAGTCGGGGGCCGACTTGATGGCAAACAACAACAACAGCTTACCTAAACATTCTGAGTACTGGTGCTTTAAGTTATCAACATTACTAACAAATTATTTCTCACCTTTGTTCTCTCCTTGCTCACCAATAACCCATACTTCTTCTTTTCCTGAAGTTTGTGCTTTCAAAATATTTGTAATAATATATTGTAATCTCTGTGAATCCAGATTACATCCAATTCCAATCACTCGATTTTCAGGAAATGCACTCAGCTTCCATGTCACATAGGTCATGATTTCCACTGAGTAGTGCATGCAAGTTGAAAACAGAAAGGTTATTTTTCATACACTACTTTTTAGCCTAGCTCACAAACAAAATTATTATTATTTGAGTAAGTATATTAAAGCTTGTAAGTACTCTTCTTAGGTCCAATAAGCATTATAAGGAATAATATTTCTTATGTATATTAAAAGCACTAACCAGGTTTCAATATGATCTTACATAACTTTGCTATTAAATATAAATTGTTAAGACTAGAAAATAGATAATTTCCTAGAATAGCTAAGCCAGAAGAATGAAAAAAAGATATGGAAAACCAGAGAATAGTAATTTATTTTCATCAATTAAGTTCTCTTTATCTTCAAATGAAAATACTGGTTCAGATATTGCTATGCAGTATAACATTATGAACAAAATACAGTAACTTCTTTCATATATGCCAAAAGGATACGAGGAATTGAAGAGACCAGTGTCTCTCAATCAATTACTATAAAAAAAACAAACAAAATGTGTATCATACTCCAAATATAGACCTGAGTACATTTAAAAAGTTTGTTCACCAATTTAGATCCAGTACCATGTAACTCTGAAAATATTTCTTTAAGTTGCACAGCAATTTGCAAGCTACAAAATGCTTAAGATGCACTTTGTCATGCTCACTAACATTTTATGACAGTTCAGAGTTAACAAAAGATCTTTCACATAAATCACTGAATTTTCCTCCTGAATGTTCCACTATTTTACCACGAAGAAAGGCATTGCTGACAACCTGGAATATAACATCACATTACATAAAAATTCGATGTTATACACATCCCAATTAATGCCAGTAATAAGAAGTAGCTGGTTGCCAGGATGCGGAAATACTATATTGTTTATGATAAGAGTAATTTAACTGAATACTATCAAGCAGTCTCTTTATAATCTAAACTTTTATGACTTTTATCAGTAATTCAATTCTACTAATGCACTGGACCATCAAATTACTTTAAAATAAAGGTTTTACCTGGCTGAGATGCAACAAGCAGGACACCATGTTGACTATAATGTCCCAGAGCTGGGACAAGGGCTCTGAACATATCAACATTGCTCTGCACCACATCGATGTAGGACTGAGAACTACCCAAATAATTGACTGTGAGGATCACCACCTTGGAATGAGCAGAGGCAGACAAATCTAGTAAATAAAAAGAAACAGTCTGAGCTCAAGATACAGGTTTTAATTGACTACTAGTTCAGGACAATAAGGTCTTTTCTTTTAGGTACATTTGCTCCCAGATCAATCCTAACTCCATACAAAGTATACAACTCAGAAGTGGCTAAGGTTTGCCTCCAGAAAGAGGGATTAGAGCAAGATTGCATTTCAAAGGGGAAAGATAGCAATAAAGATAAACAAAATAAAGGACCCAGAAACTACAAACAAAGATTTAATTGCTTTTTTGTAATTTATAACTTTCTAAAGGAAAGTAAATACCATATTTTTATGCAAATATGCCTGGTATACATTTTATGCAAACCATGCAATGCCCTCGAGTTAGTTTCCTACGTCTGCTGCGTGTGTTACATGTGTGTGCTTGTTATTTACATGGGCACATTATGTGCAAACACATGGTAATACACCATAGACAAAACGAACTTATAATCAACTATACTGATGATATTTAAACCATGAGCTTAGGAGTACTTGTTGTTGTTGTTATGTGCCGTCGAGTCGGCCCCGACTCATAGTGACCCCTCTTTGGGTTTCCGAGGCAGTATCACTACGGAAGTAGGATTGCCCAACCTTCCTTCCGAGGAGTGGCTGGTGGGTTTGAACCGCCAGCCGTCTGGTTAGCAGGCAAGTGACTTAGCCACTATGCTACCAGGCTGTATATCTTTATGGAAGTAGATTGCCTCATCTTCTTCCCATGAAGCAGCTATGGGTTTGAACCACTGACCTTCTAGTTAGCAGCCAAATGCCCTACCCACTACGCCACCAGAGCTAAGAATACTAGAGTTTTTTTTAATTTACTCTTAGGTCATCAGACCTATGTTTTTCTATGTTTTCTAATTTTGCCATTATGGAGACATCAGGGAAGAGTTGAGAGAATCAGAAAGAATGCTGATAGTTAAGGTTCCAGGTCCTTCACTTTGACCTATCCAAGCAGAGTGACTCTGCTTTTAGCTGTCTTGTTTATTAAGAAGGAGCTCTGGTGGCATTGTGGTTAAAGCATTTGACTGCTAACCAAAAGGTCATGGGTTTGAACTCACCAGCTGCTCCTTGGGAAAAAAGATAAGGCAGTTTGCTTCTGCATAGATTTACAGCCTTGGGAACTCTATGGGACAGTACTACTCTGTCCTAAAGGGTTGCTATGAGTCAGAATTGACTCGATGGCAGTTTTGTGTTTTGTTTTTTTTTTAATAATTTATTTAAGGATTCTACTCCAAAAGGGGAAAATATTGGTTTGAAGATTACAATGCCTTAGTTTATTTGTAACCAGGTATTTATTATTATCTATTATACTGAAAGGAGCTCTGGTGGTGTAGTGCCTAAGGCATTTGACTGCTAACCAAAAGGCTGGCAGTTCAAACCCACCAGCCACTCCTCGGAAGGAAGGTTGGGCAATCTGCTTCTGCAGTGAGACCACTTTGGAAACCCAAGGAGGGGTCACTATGAGTCGCATCCGACTCCACAGCAGTGAGTTTGGTTTGGTTTTATTAAACCAAATGTCCTTGGTTTTAGGTTCTTCTTTCAATGGGACCTACAGGAAAGCAACTTTTATGACATTAAAAAAGATAGTACTGAAGTTCAATCCTGTGATCCTCATGCATGCATATGCTATTTTATAAGTATATTAGTCTCTACTGCACAGTGTGTTTTATAGTAAGTAAATGGGAAATGACTGCTGAATGGGTATGAACTTTTCTTTTGGGGTGATGAAAATGTTCTGGTACTAGATAGTAATTATGCTTGTATACCACTGTTGAGGTACTAAATGTCCCTAATGGTAAATTTTAACTTATGTGTATTTTGGCACTATACAAAGATAAAAAATATATATACTATTAAGTGCAAGAAATAGATGTGAACTGCTTCTCACCAGTTCCCCTGATCTCTACCCTTGAAGCAACTATTCTTACCAGTTTCTTAATATCTTTCCAATTTAGATTATTCATACACAATGATCAGTTTGTGAAGTATGTATGTTTGTGTGTATATATGCATGTTCATATATACATATATGTGTATGTATATGTATATATACATACCCTTTCAAAAAGGTTTTAATAACTATTTTTAAAAATCCAAATGGAGCTATTTTTAAAAATCCAAATCTAGGATGACTACTCAGTTGCAATAATCTATGCCTGTCATGATGGGCCATTATTAAAGTTTCCAAATGAGATTTTCCAGAATCATTAATGTACTTCTTTATGCTATAGTTAATAAACACATTTATTAGATGTTAGTTAACATAACATTTAAAATTACTTCATGTAACAGTAATTACATTAAGTGCTATCAAGAATATACAACACCAAAATTAATATGGGGAACATGAAAGTTGTCCCAAGGCATACTCATTCAACAGCTAATTATTGAGTCTCTACTAGGAGCTCTGGTGGTGTAGTGCCTAAGGCATCTGACTGCTAAGCAGAAGGCTGGTGGTTCAAACCCACCAGCTACTCCTCGAAAGGAAGATGGGGCAATCTACTTCCGTAATGATACTGCCTCGGAAGCCCAAGGAGGGGTCGCTATGAGTCAGATCTGACTTGATGGCACATAACAACAACACTAGGTGCCAGGCACGAGGTGCTATACATCTATTCCAAAGATTCTATTCTTTCAATTACCTGAAGCAATAATTATTGATGATTAATGAGACACATAAGAAGAAACAATTTCCTTAAGTCCTAAATGGCCTCACAACCTCTAGAGCCCATGTACTAAAGAGTTTCTTAAAGTGAAGTCCCTTAAGAACTTCAGTACCTGGAAATGATAGGCACAAGAGAATATCCAGCTCCTTAAGGGATATGCTACATGAAACTTTCAAAAGGATCATTAAAACAATTACTGTACTCTTACCAGAGAAGGAAAATGAATGCACTGTATCCTCAGGGATCCAGAGGCTTGTTAGAACTATTACAACCAACTTTTCTTTTTATTGTGGTAAAATATATATAACCCCAAATGTGTCATTTTAACCATTTTAAGTGCACAATTCAGTGACATTAATTACACTCACAATGTCATGCTACCATCACCACTATCTACTTCCAAAACGTTATTGTCTCAAACAGAAACTCAGTATTCCTTAAGCAATACCTCCAGCACTCCACTCCCTGCTCCCAAGGATAAACTTTGGTTTCTAGGCATTTGCCTATTTTGGGTATTTCATATACCATATTTTGATTCAAATAACATGTGACTCCTATGTTTGTTTGCCAACAGCTCCCACCCCAGGAGTTATTTTTGTAAAAGCACTATTTTACCTGGGTTTTTTTTTTTTTTTTAATAGCAACATTTAAGTGGGATCACACAATGTTTGTCCTTTTGTGTCTAATTTCATTCAATATATATTAGAACTTCATTTCTCTTTATAGCTAAATAATATCCCATTGTACTAACATACTACATTTAACTTATCCATTCATCTATTGATGAACACTTGGGTTGTTTTTACCTTTTGGCTATTACAACAGTTCTGCAATGAATACTGGTATACAAGTACCTGAATCCCTGCTTTCCAATCTCCCAGGTATATACCTAGAAGAGGAAATGGTAACTGTTTAATGTCTTTAAGAACTGTCCAACTGTCTTCCACAGTGACTGCACCATTTTACATTTCTACCAGCAATGGACAAGGGTTCCAATTTCTCCACATCCTCTCTAACACTTCTTATTTTCTGTTTTTGTTTAAATTTTTATTGTGGTTTGGGTGAAAAGTTTATGGAGAAAATTAGTTTTCCAATCAACAATTTATATACATTTTGTTTTGTGATACTGGTTGCAATACCTACAATGTAACAGCACTCTTCTTATGTCTTGGCTGGATTACCCATTTCCAGTCATCCTTCTATCCTGCCCCTTCCTTCTGAGTTTTGTTTTTGAACAAATACTGCCCTGTTGGTCTCATATTGTTGACTGTTCTGAGAAGTACATTCCTCACAGATGTTACTGTTCACTTTAGAAGCCTGTCCATTGTTTGGCTGAAAGGTGATCTCCTGGGGTGGGTTCAGTTCCAGACTGCAATGGTGGCTAAGGGCCACAGTTTCTGGGTTCCACCAGTCTCTATTAGACCAGTAAATCTGGTCTTTTTTTATGATTTTGTTCTACACTTTTTTCCCTTCCCGATTTGTCTATGACCTTCTTTGAGATCTTAATCAGAGGGGTCGATAGCGGTAGCCAGGCATCATCTAGTTCTTCTGGATTCAAGGTAGTGGAGGCTTTGGTTCATGTGGGCCATTAGTCCTTTGGACCAATTGTTTGCTTGAGTCTTTGATTTCCTTTACTGTTCTTTGCAACAAATGTGTTTTGTTTTGTTTTAAATAATAGCATTCTAGTGGGTGTGAAGTAGTTTCTCATTTTGTGGCTTTAATTTGCACTTCCCTACTATCACTAATGATGTCGAGCAAATTTTCATGAACTTATTGGCCATTTATATATCTTCTTTAGAGAAATAACAACCTGTTTTTATAATTTTTATAGGTATAATTTAAACTTTTCTGACCTACTATTCTTAATACTTCAGGTCTATGTCTCAATATCTTATTTGGAAAATATTGTCAGTGAATACATGGGTCCTAAGGAAAGGCAAATGAAGACCAAAAAACTATAACATATTATAATCTGATTATAGCTATAACCTGCAAGAAAGGTTATAGGACATATGTCTACTCTAATTCAATGGTTTAAGAGTTTTTGACCATGATCCTTGTGAGAAAAATATTTTTAAGCCTAAATCCCCAAAAATGATGTGTACATATATGAACACATATATACATACATATGCTAATATATTTCTATAATTATAAAATTTATGCAAAGTTTTTTAAAATTAAAAGGATGAGATAGAGAAAATAACTTCTAACATTTTACATTTTATTTTAAATGATACAAAAACTCCTTTTGGTCTTATTAAAACTTATTGTAGCACAATGAATTGCTTGGTATGCCCTTCTAGCCATAGTTTTTGT